CGGCAGACCCATCCCCGCTGCTCTCCCTGCATCCCTCGCATCCCCAGCGCAGGCCTGGAGCTATTCTCCTGCACACCTCCTGCTGCTCGTGTGTCTGTGAGCTCGCTGCGGATTAGCTTCAGTGATGCCCCCGGCCCCTTTGGCACTGTGGGAGGAAGCTGAGAAGTGCTTAGGGGGTGGAAAAACCACCTGGAAATCCACTGCTGTCCCCTAGTCCCTGCAGAGATTTGAGGGGTGCTCGGTGGGCATCGCACTCCCAGCCTGACCGGTTCCAGAGCCGTGCCTGGCTTTGGGGCTCCCCTGTCTTCTGGGGTTCAGTCTCAGCTAGCTGGGGCAGAAGGGTGAATCCTAGCTCCCGGAGGGGTGAAGGAGCAGGTAGCTGTGTGTTTTGGCACCACTGACATCTCAGCTGAGTGATGCCCCTGTGCTTTAGGATGCTGTGTTTGTTCTTGTTTAGGGGTCGGGCAAGGCTGCTGCCTTGGTATTTTCCGTACTAGAAAGGACTGGACTGCCCTGGTGATGCCGACGGGACTGAAATGAGGAGATGGGATTGGAGAGATTTAAAAATATGCCTACCCAAGCCAAAAAAGATTAATTTTAAAAATGCCATCTGCCTGACCGTGAGGATTACTGGTGAGGCAGCCATGTGCCGGGCTGCGGGGGGGAAGATGGGATCCGTTCCACCCACCCGTCCTGGCAGCGTCCCAGGAGGGGCTCACCTTAGCTTTGCTTAGGGGATTGCGTTTTCATCGAGAACAGCCTCATCCCAGAGAACACTGTCCTGGGAAGCGAAGAGCCCTCCCAGACCATCAAGTCTCATTCTCATCCCATAGAAAAGGGTTTGGTGTAAACCTGGCTTGGCTTCTAGGTGTCTAAATGCCCTGCACCCCACTGCGGGGGCGGACCTGTCCTGCTCGGCCCGTGAAGGACCCTCAGCTTTGCCAGCTGTTTCTACAGAAGCTGGATGCTGCTTTCTCCTGCTCGTAAGATCCTAAAGACCTTTCCAAAAGACTGTTTTCTTCTTCAAATCAGTGCAAAAAGTCCTGGGTTGCAGCTCTAGATCTGACTGCTGGGGAGCTTTTCCTTCACCAGCCTTGTGGATTTCTGACCTTGCTCTTGGGAAGAGGATGGAGCCTAAGGATGTGTTTTGGGACTGGTTTTTAGCTCGCTGCTGCTGTTGTACATCTAACGACTACGGGAGGGAAAAAGCATCCCTTGCTGATTCCCTGGAAGCCTCTGTATCTCTGCAGTGGTTAAACAAGACCTGGGTGTCACAAAACCCTTTCCCCCTTTTATTTCAGAAGTCAACAACCCCCCTTTTACCCCCTGTTGCTTTTACTCCAAAGCTACAAGGATCAAAGAGTGCTGCTAACGCATCATTTTACTTTATTTCTAGCAGTATTGCAAAATCATCTCCACTGTTACAGATTTGGTCTGATCTTCCTCTTTATTCCTGTCACCATTCCTG